CACCGGATGGCACTCCGTCAGCCGTGTGTATGTAGAGGAGGTACCCAGGCCACAACCGTGAAGCAACTATCAAGAAATGGCCGACACGATATTCATAAGTAATAAGCAATAAATAATTAATCTTAAATAAACAATTGATGCAAGGTTTTGCTAAGATAACTATTTATATAATTAATGTAATCAAAAGATGCTTGACCAAATGGATTAAATCATATCATTACAAAACGTTTACGTTATCGATGTCTTGAAGAGAAATCGCACAGCAACTTAAAGAATCACAACCAACCGCCGTACCTTGCGAGCCGAAGCGCCATTTTAGGTGGACACGAAAATGCTGAATTCGTAGAATTTCTTAAAGTGAGCGCGAATCGTCTTCCATCCTTTCAGTCTGAACAGAAATACCTTTGACTAAGTACCTCATAGGTACTGTCAATCTATAATCTATTGTATGCTTGACGCATTTAAGCGTACGTAAACAATAACACGAGCGCGCATTGTATTGTGGTTGGTTGGGATTCTTTAACTGCATACAAAACTTACATTCATTATTTTTGGTATAGGAACTTTTCATTCACAATTGCATTTGATTCTCTAAATAGCTATAGTCTAGTTATAAGTACTACATTTTCTCAATGATGATGTGACGTCATATTGAATAAACTCATGCAACCACCACCTTGACTTTAAACCATATTCAGGCACCATGTTGGATATCTAGCCGTATAAGGCACATTTTTTGTCCAATAGCGTTGCACATTGCACTTGAAATAAACCTTAGGGGATTATCATGCGATGAAAGAGGGAATATATTGAGTAGTATTTAGTTGGTTAGGTTTTGCAGAGAACCAACTTCGTTCGACTTGATCTTAATCAATTTATCGTTCAATCATTCATTCATTCAGCCATTTATTCAGTAAATAAAGTATTTCACGTTTGAACACAGGCAGCCCTCAAATTAAAATCAATTTTACTGTGATATAAATCAAAGGTTTTGACCTCACTGTAGATTTCAACAGCCTCCCAGCCCATTGCGATGTTTAGTTTGATTCTTCATATAAAGGTCCCCAAATGACGTCATAGATCACTCTTCGTTTAGCAGTACTTCTATGTGTACGCTCTATATATAGATTTATACGTACAGTGCTTTCTATGTATGTGTTCAGTACTTTCTGTACATTGTACGTGTTGTGTGCCTTCTATATGTTCTATACGTTCTATGTGACGTTATTTGGGGACCTTTATATGAAGTATTAAACGATGTTTTAATACTTGAGACTTGTCTGCCAAATTATTGATTAGCAGACTGTTTACACGCACAACAACATATCGCCCAACAACGCTAGCAGAGTAAAGGACGTGCCATTAACAACCTTCACGTTTGATTCTTTGTATGTGACAAAAGTTGCAATATGTGAACCGCCATATTTAGTATATAGTGGCCTATCAGTCCATTAATTCTTTTGTCCAGACTTGTCTTTTACGTCACGAATGATCCCATGGGATCAAAACCTAGACTGTCACAGACAAGATTTTGATCCCGCGAGGCAAGGGATCACGGTCGTAATACCACAGGTATTCCGCATTTTGCTAAGAGCGCGCGCCGATAACATAAAAGCGTACGCATTTGTTCTTTTGTCTCTCTCGAGCAATAGTTGGGCGGCTTATGCCTGCCCCAGTTCCTTCCTGTCAACAATTTCTATCGAGTCTCCTTCCAAATAGAACCTATTGAAAAACAAGAACGAGCAATATCGGTTTTACTCAGTTTTATTCATAATCAACGCCTTTTAACAGTCACCAGCTCAAAAACTCGCTTTGGGCTCGTTAGTTTAAAAGAGCTTCTCAGTTCGAAAGAGACGTTGGGCCACTTTGAAAAAAGGTACGTATATGGAAAATGGAAAATTTTGCGACCCTCTTTATTCAATATAAACTCTAAATTTGTCCTTGAAGGCCTTCTGCAGGTGCTATCTTATGATATTTTTTTCTGTACAATTTCTGAAGATTAGCTGCTGTACCTATTATAATAATGAACATAAATAAATAAATAATATATAAATAAATAAATAAACAAATAATAATTGTCAATATGCAGACTGCTGTATATATATATATAGCTCGTACCAATCCATTGAAAAATACCGAATACCGCAGCTGGGGTGCACGCATCCTCCAACCTCATGACATTTCTTTAAGTCCCCGTCTCTGCATTTGTACACAGTACAGAGAAAAACTAAAAACCTTTATTTAATCAGTTGTTTGACATGTTAAAACAAGAAAGAAAACTGTTCTTATATATATCGCTCAAGACACTTAAGTGTTTTGTCATATTCGCTAACTGCATGGGCACTTCCCTTTCAAAAATCTGTTGCTACACACTGATAAGTTGTTTGTCGATTGAGAAACTTCAATGCAAGCCGAGGAAGCATCCTAAAGAGGTTTAAAGAGCAAGTAATTCCGTGAAAAGGTAACCGGCAGTAATATATAAAGTTCAGTATTTGAAAAGAAAGCTTCTCAGGGCAGTTAAGGCATGGCTCTTGGAAAAATAGCGAATATTAACCAAATTTATTCCCAAAAATTAGCCTTTCAATAGAATTCACTCAAACCTGCAAGTGTCTCTACTTTAGCAAGTACTGCATTTTTAGGGCTTTTGTTGCCATGGAAACGATATCACGTGACTTCAGGGCGGCCATCTTMGATTTTTCTTTTGAGGCTCTTGAAAAATATCACAGACACCTTCAAATCTTTTGAAACTTTATATCCGAGCATTAATTAATGTGTTCTATAGAGACCTAATTAGAAAAAATGGTTTAGACTTAAGGATGCTTTGATTTTCCTTGAACAATTTTCAAAAAATGACAAAAAAAATATTTTCTCAATTATTTCAAATGTTAACCAAAATTTCTAATTTGTTTTATGTAATAAGTGATAGTAACTATTAGATTGTGGATTTTCACTTGTTTTGATAGAGTCTGTGATATTTTTCAAGAGCCTCAAAAGAAAAATCCAAGATGGCCGCTCTGGTGTCACGTGATCTCGTTTCCATGGCAACAAAAGTCCTAAAYATGTAGRAKTRATCAAATTGGAGACACTTGCCAAGTTTGATGGAAATTTATTAAAAGGCCAATTTTTTTAGAATAAATTTGGTTAATATTCGCTATTTTTTCTGAGAGCCATGCCTTAACTGCCCTGTGTTGCGTTAAAAACTTGAAACTTTTAAAATTGCTTCCCATTAAAGTTCCTGACTGTACGGAGCTGATGAAGCCACTCCAAAAAAACGAATTAGCTGTAAATTATAAACTTGATATGGATAGAACTTTCCAAACCACTAAAAAAAAGTTTGACAAAACCTGTTTAGCAGGTTTTTGAAGCAACATGTGCGTACTGTATTGAGTCTCTTCGAAACTGCAAAAGATCTTTGTGTGAAAAGTGTGCATAAGAGGTATTAACTAATTAACCAATTATATTTACAGAACAGTTTGAAATTATTATAATCCGTCATTTTTTAAAAGTTGCTAACGTTTTTAATTATAATGTACCGTATTGTACCGATGATAGCACATGAATAGCGTCTGTTGATTTTGTAGACTTAGTTCCCAGATCACGATTGCAGGTTGACAAACTGCAGGTATTCTACAATATTTGATTTGATTTGATTTCTTGTTTTTGTCGAGCATTTTCTCCTTTGGCGGATCATCTTGTTTGATGGTTTTGGGTGCTCTTGGATGAATTTTCATGGAGTTTGTATGCTCGAGCTGTGCATGTGGTCACTGAAGCATCTTTTGATGATTTGGAAATTTTGGTCACCACAACGGCTTGCTTGTCCCGGATTTACTGAAACAAACTGAAGCTGTTTTGAAATTTTCATTTACATCCATGAAATTTCCTGAAAACTTGCATGAAAAATTCTCTTTCGCATAGTGCTTGATGAGTTTCGAGTGGGTCCTTTTGAAAAGCTTAAAGTGCATATTGTCGTGTAATGTATGATCACATCACGCCCTCCAAGACAGACAATAATCAAAACAAATTAATTAATTCTCAAAGACCTTCTCAAAGAGTAAAAGAGATGTAAGACTCTTCATTATTGGAATTGGATGTATTTCAGTTCATAAGATACTGTTGAAATTCTTTTCGTTTCGTAGAAAATGAAGACATTTATGCTGGCAGTCCTGATCTCTGTGGCTGTCGTTCTTACAGCTGCCCAGTCATCAGCCAACAAACCAGGATTAAAAAGCGTAAGTTCGATGTGCTGCTTTCTTCGCTTTCTCAGGGGGGGGGGAGAGGAGAGGGGCCTGGGGCTGTTGTCCTCCCAGTATTTTTCTGGCCAATTTTTGTAATTGCTTTTAGTAAGCTCTACCATCCTGCCCGTGAGAATGGAAATTCAATGAAATGTCATATTTTGACGCCTAAACCGATGCCTTTCAGCAGTGTCAAGAAAATTTTGTTCGTGGATTCAATACATAAAAAGCTGGAAATCGCATTTCAGCCGAGGTTCAAAATTTAAAAACCATACTCCGCGATCCCTGTTTCTTCTTATCAATTAATGTTTCATTATTTTATCTGTTCCCGGCACCGCAACACCTCAGTGCCCTTTTTATTTAGTAGTTTGTGCTCAAAATCGAGATCAATTAACTGTGAACTTGTATATTTATCATACAGASAGATTTTACCTGRGCTACMTGTTCTACGTGTCAARCGGGWYTACCCGGCSWACATGGCAAWCCCGGTGCCCCAGGYCGTGATGGTCGCGATGGACGTGACGGTACCCAAGGAAAACCKGGCCCCCAAGGACCACAAGGACAACAAGGAGTCCCCGGACCTCAAGGTAGCGTCGGACAAACAGGTGCTCGTGGACCTGAAGGACCTAAAGGAGAACGCGGACCAGTAGGACCGTCGTCTCATTCCAACTGGAAGGAATGTGTTTGGAAAAACATCAACGATGGGAGAGACAACGGACTGATAAGAGTTTGTATTATTTTTGTTGTTTAATTACTTACTAATAATTTTAATTATTTAAAAAATAATTATTATTATTACAAAAAAAAAAAGACAGTTTATTCAAAATGCAAAATATCAAGATTGATCCCATAGTACCAAAGAGAGTGTATCGGCAAATTGGCCACCAAATATATAAGGTTTGATTTGGTAAGCTTATTCTCTCTCTGATTCAAGCGTTTTCCTCCTTTTCGAAGATCAATAATTAACTGACTGTGCGMAGTGCGCTGCCGTGTATTAACTAACGGTCCAAATATCGAGTAGGCGTGAGAGTATCAAAGATTATCAATATCGGAGACATCTTCGAGGATTGAAAAGATCTCTCACTTGAAAATAACAAGTTTACGAGAGTGAGATATTTCATTATTGTTATATGACAAAGCTATTTTCACTCGTTTGACTTTCAGGATTGCGTTTTCTACAAGAAACACACCGATACKGTCCTTTTCGTGTACTGGAATGGTGARTTTAGAATCGCTGGCTGCACCAAGTGTTGCAAAAGGTGGTTCTTTACCTTTAACGGRGCAGAGTGCAAGTTSCCAGCAGCCATTGACGGAGTAATACTTCTTGCAAGCGGGACTGCTAAGGACCGCAACGTCCACAACGTGAGAGCTATTCAAGGTCACTGCGYCAAGGTCCACAAGGGYCATGTGCGTATTGGATTCAATGTGGGAAACTGCGCAGGCTACGGCAGTGTTGATGCCTACACCGGATGGAATTCCGTCAGCCGTGTGTATGTAGAGGAGGTACCCAGGCCACAACCGTGAGACAACATCAAGAATTGTGGCCGACAACCGTGGGCACATCACACGAAAAGAAATGTTGAATTATTGATTAATTGAGCTGCTTATTAGAATGCTAATAAAGACATTTATAGGATAATTAAATAAATAAGATATGTGTGATTATCATGCCTATTGTTACTGTCTCTACCCTCTTATAACAGTGGCTTAGTTGGAGTTTACGACCGCCGAAGGTGGAGTTATTAGGCGGGTCTGTGCATTCTCCCCTGAAAATTTTGAAATTAAAACTCTCGGCAATGCCATTTCCAGCGTTTTGAGAGGTATCGACAGCATATTAAAAGGAATCAAATTTATGGAAATGTTAAATGATTTGACAATGAGAAAAGGCAGAAGATTTATTGGGGGGACTTTACCCCTCCGGTTCCCCTCTTTTGCGCGGTCCATATATAACCGTCCATGCATGTAAAAAATAGCTGAACACACACGAAAAGCAGGCTCTTGAAACTGTTGTTGTTGTACTCCAAATTATAATATTTTGTATCGATCAAACTCAAATCTATAACAACAATATCATTGCTCTAGTAGGGTCCAGATAGAGTGCACGTCACATAAGCATGAAACAATTCTTAATATGTATTGCTAAATAAGATTTAGTTATCAACTAACTAAGAATTCAACAAAGCATGAAACAATTCTTAACTATGTAGTGCTAAATAAGATTTAGTTATCAACTAACTAAGAATTCAACAAAGCATAAACACAATGCCAATTATTTAAATTCCTTTGTATTTTTCTCAATTCTTAGTTAGTTGATAACTAAATCTTATTTAGCACTACATAGTTAAGAATTGATTCATGRTTATGTGACTTGCACTCTAGGGTTAAATAACAGGGTTTGGATTGGTTGTCCCAGAATCAATTAACTCCAGGTGAGACCGTTTTATTTCTCCGATA